TTTAATGCATGCATATATTTTATTTTCATTAATTCTCAGGCCCATTCTGACAGCCTCTTTCTCTAGAGAGATAAAAGCCTGTTTTAGGGCTGCTGGTGTTCTAGCAATAACGTCAATGTCAGCAACAAAAGCCAATAACTATACCAGTTTATTAACCTTTTGAGGCCGGGGCTTTGGTAGCAGTAAAAGCCTTGAAAGGACAGGGAATCTTGAACTGAATGCTTTCCACCCTTTAAGAAATCACCTCCTATTTGCAACAAAGATTTTTTTTTTTTTACTGTTAAATGTCCTTATAATTTTAAATTTGTTTTGATATATATTATTAAATATATCTTTGAACTTTCTTTCATACAGGGTATAATTAAAAAATAAGCGCTTAAAGCTATAGAAATGATTAAAAATTAAAGTTCAGTGGAACTGTTAAAATTATGCTCTATGGGTGCAATGAAATTTCAATTTTACATAATTGTTCCAAATCTAGTTAATAACATACTATTTAAGGAGGAAACTTTCAGCAAATTAGAATATAACTGGTTTAATTAAAAATGATTTTATTTCATTGTAGACTGTTAGTACTGCAATGTCCAACTACATAAGGGCTACTAACTAAAATTCAGTTCGTTTTTCCAAAATTAATGCATAATAATACAGACGCTCAAAAACTGTTTTTTAGAATATTTTAGTTATAAAAATTTGGGGGGGGGAAAAAAAGATTCTTTAATTATGTACCGTTTTATACTGTTTATTGAAAATTAGTAAGTGATATATTTAAAGTATTAATAATAGAATGAATTTAAGTCATTAAAAATGTCAAATTATTTAGTATGTAAACCCATAATTCAAAACATAAATTCCAATTGTCTTAAACTAAATTCCCAGCCTTACTAAGGGAACGTGTTCCCTCGCGTATCAAAATTTAAGTAATTTCCTTAGTGCAAAGAGTTTTTAAATTGAAAAGAAAGTTGTTTGTTATGCATAGTGTCTGCAAAAACTGTGGGACAAAAGTTACACGATAATTAGTTGTTGTCTTCAGTACTGTATTATGTTATTCTATATTATGCTAGATAATTTAGCACATTAAGAGAAATTTCCAGATAATTTCGGGTGCCCGGTCAGCAAAATTCTCTCCTTTTTCAAATCGTCGTCCCATGTGAATTTTTCTATTTCCTCTATTGTTTAAACCAGTTCATTTCAACTCCAGACTGTCTTTGTAGCAGCTTTGACATTAACCATGGTGGCATATTTTATATGGTGGGATTTAAATTCCACGATATATTAGCAAGTATCTTTACTTGCAGTTACTCAAAAAATCTTCATTGGCAGGTCATGCGAAACCTATACTGACATAGTTGAATTAACTGTTTTTCTCTTTTCTATTGAAATGAATGACAAAGGCATTCAATCACTTAAAAGGTCAAGGTTCAGAAATTCAGATGGGGAACATGTGTTGTTTTAGAAATGTGATTTGTACATTATTTGAGAGCTTTTACATCCCGTTTGTATTCTCGGATTTCAACGGACAGTGAAATTTCACAAATGCTACTCTAATCCATTCTGAACATCTTACTTTAAAATTATTTGACCGACCGTGAAATCAAGTTACTGATACGGAGGTACCTTTTAAAATAACAGTACATCTGGAATCTAATTGCTAGAGATGACCTTTCAAACTGATTGACTAGTTTTAGTGTATTTACAATTTTCAGGTTTCAGGCTGAAATTGTAAAACTACTGTTGTTTTTCTTTGACACAAAATTTATATATTTATGTTTTTGTGATTTGTCTGAATAACAGTATCATCACAGTAAACTTCCGTGTGTGAAGGTCACTTCAGCATGAACAGATATATATGGAAATAAAGACAGACAGAACTGTTAAGAATGAATTGATAAGAATGTAAGAAAAAATGCTTATACATGTATACAAGTACGTGGGAATTTATATTTGTTTATGGAAATGAATATCTACATATCCATGTAGTATATATATATCTGCACTGATATAATATGGTATAAGTGCAGATATGCACATAAAGCGGAAAGCATGCGTACCTTTAAATGGGAATAACATATATATAGACACGTACATGTACACACACAGGCACACATATGCATTTATATATGTGTTTGCATGTGTATTTACGCATAAGTGTATAAACATACAGATATATGTATATGTATATATTTCATCAATGGGCTCTTGAAGAAGTTTTCGTATTTCTTCTTCAGTCAGACCTCTTTTCCTTTTCAGCATATTGCTAGAAAAATGTCTAATAATTCCTAAAAAACTTACGAAAATATGCAATATTCTAAAGCAACGCAAGGCTCTGTTTACAATTTACAAACGCAGTTATCACGAATTCCGTAGCTATGTAGCTTCAAGAACTAAAAGGGAAAAATTGGGAAAAACCGGGTTCTTAACATAAGGACCTTTGAAAGAGATAAGTGGTTAAAACCCCAGGGATGTCATATCCACTCTTTCAGCTTGGAAAATAGGGGAAAAAGACTAAGTGGACAGCCCCATCATTTCAAACAAAGGACTCTATGGCCATCCAGTCCCCAAAAGGTTAAAGATGTTTCTTCTGGTACTGATGAATCACCTAACCTATGCCTAATTTTTATTTCTTGTTGAAGCAAGTAAGCTATCATGCATGATCAGTGCAAGATCCTAATACCCCAATGTACAATTATTGAATTACTCTATTAAATTCACAGGTAACTCAGTATCATTCATTCACAGTAAGCTGTTACCAGTATAAGGGGACAATAAAATGAATCAGGGATTGTATTTTGATGGCTTCAGAGGTTTTTGGGGTGGTCAATGCAACATCTGATGCCATTCACAATCAGATAGACCATCTGCTGTCAAACCTGACAAAAACATATCAGCCATTCAGCAACTCATTCACAGTGACAGATGCACTACCATGAGACAAATTATGGAGCACACAGGTACGGCAGAAAGATCTGTGTTAATACTAATCCAATGATTGGGATAATGGAAAAGTGAGTTCACAGAGTTCCACGGCTCTTGATAAAGAAAGATAATGCCAATATAGAACATATATGATGACCTTCATAAAAGTTTCTCTTGGGATTATTCATAATGCTTAATGAACTCATTGCATGCAATAAAACCTGGCTGTTTCATTTTAACCTTGAGAGCGAAAGGCAGTTGAAAGAATGGATGTATATTCATGCCATGAGAGAAAAAAGATAGCAAATGTGCAGTAAAGCAAATGGTTACACTTCCAAAGGATCGATAATACTACCTACAAAATTTTATTTCCCTAGTGTTTACCATCACTCAATTACAGTGGATTGTGCTACTTTTTGAATGACCAATGTATACATTGAAAATAACAGAAGAATTATTTTGTCATGCATAACACGTAAAGCCAACCTCCCCTGTAATGAATGAACCTTTTCTTCCTGTCCAATTTCTTACACACTTATATTATTTTATAGTGAACAAATAAAAGTAAAAGCTGTGAAAACTGGATATAGCAGACTGTATAGATATCTTAAAGTTAGACGTTTGTTTTTCCCATTTCCATAATTTCTGTAACTTTAAGCTAAACAAATAACCTAAAAATTATACATGTTTAAGATGACAGGATCCACATTCCATCCATAAAGGAAAACACCTTCACGTTACTGGTCATCACCATTTAGATTTCTAACTTGTCGAATGAAAAGATTTAGATGTTTGTGTTTCACAAATTTCCATAATTTCTGTAGCTTTAAATGAAACAAATAACCTAAAAATTATACATGTTTACCGTGTCCATTCACATAAAGGGAAACACCTTTATGTGACTGGTCATCACCATTTAGATTCCTAACTCGTCGAATAGAAAGACACAAATGTTTTCAATAACATTTGTCTTTTATGCCTATTGTGTACCCGAAATTAATCTGGAAATTTTTTTTTTTTTTTTTTTTTTTTGGTTAAATTCCAAATTGGTCATTCCTATCATGAAGTTTTAAGTATTGTTAGGGTTGCTATCATCTAGTTATCGACAGATTTCGTTGCAAGGCTTATGCTTAGCACTAACTGCCCCACCATTAACAGAAAAATACCTAATTTATATTTCAAAACTAAAATCTACAAACAATTCAAAACTTAATCTCTAAAGTCTCATGTAATTCAGAAAATGAATATTACAAAATGTCCCCTCAAAAGGATTTATTTATTTGTGAGAAATAAAATTTTTTCAGAGATCCTACATGTTCCAAAGAATTTAAGACTGCTATAAGGAAATACTCAAGAAAAAAGAAGGGAGGAAAAACAACTTTTACAGTAGGCACTGCTTAATGCGATCACATTTGGATATTGTTATCAAATTCTTGAAGTCTCACCTATTTATACAGGAAAAATACAGCACTTTTTGAGATCAACAATACGGTTAATATCATCAAAGTATTACGGAACAAATTTTTTAAACTGAAATAATGTTTTCAAATAAGGCTAAAATAGACTATAAAAATTACTAAGTGACAGAAAGATGTCGCCAAGTAAGGGATTTAGTTGCCGAACAGTTTGCTTTTGATTTTAGACATTAATTTAAAATCAGTGACTTGGTTACTTGTTATTCGGAAGGGGGGGGGGAGGATTTTACAGAATTTTTCTCCCAAAACATATATGCTAAACTAAGGTTACATTTTTGCCTAATTTGAAATTTTACATACTATTGAAATGAATGAGGAATGCCTTATGGGTATGAAGCTTAGAAATGCAGCATCGGTCAAATAATTTCCAGAAGTGTAATGAAAAGTTTATAAACAAGCTTTTGCATTTTTCTAATTAAAATGCTTTGAAAGTATTTATTGATGTTTCTAGTTATATTTATTTAAATTAGTTAAATTCCATTGCAATTTTGAAGGGAATATTTTCTCAACATTAAATATTATCATTTCACTAATGGTATCAAAATACCTGTGGAACAAACGTGATCACATTTAGTGGTGCCTACTGTACACCAAAAGTAGTAATTGTACCTTATTTCCACCTTGATCCACATAACGTGCTGTGTTGTTATACACTCTCAACATAGGCACAATTCCATTTGAAGAACCATTTGTCTAGAAGAGAAAAAAACTGTTTGTTTAAAAGGGATTACACATATATGTAATAAAATTCAATTACCAAACTCAATTTGGTAGTAATAATAATAAAAAGCACAAGTAATAAAAAAACTACACCAAATAACCGTGAAAACAAATGCAAGAGAACTGTAGAGGATTTACATTTCTCAATACAGCACTTTCAGGAGGTTGGTACCCTAAGAAATGCAAAAGATAAAAAAACTGTTTCTCAGCCAACAGATGCACAATTAAACTTAATATATAAACTACCTTAAAAACAAATTGTGCTTCTTTTGATGAAGCCTACAAACTAAAAATATAAATGGATGGCAAAAACGAAAGGCAATCATTTTTTTTTTAAATTAAAGTATGTGCATATGATTAAAATAAATTATGTACCTAAACTTACAGTGTGCCTTTACGCTTATCAAATCTTTGGTTTTAAATGCTTTGTACAAAAAGTCTGATTAAAATCTTTTAAGTGCCTTGTTTTATGCAGTGGAACCTCGAGATACGAGTTTAATTCGTTCCAGCATTGAGCTCATATAGCGAATTTCTCATATCTAGAAATAAATTTCCCCACTGAAAAAAATGGAAATCCAGTTAATCTGTTCTGTACCTCCAAAAATATGAACACAAAAATCAATTTTTCTAATAAACTACTGGTAAATAATATTACCATAGTTTACCCTTATGATAGCTTCTGACACCAACATTAACAGCTTCTCGTTAATCCACACCAACAACAGCTTCTTAGAGTTTTGGATGGTGAAGTAACGATAACTTCTTTGCCTATATCAAGTTTCTTAATTTCTTCCTTCTTCTTAGTGATGTCAATGTTGAAAGGAATAGTGGAGATCATTGATGTCGAAAGGCAGTAAGTCTTTGCCAATTCCGTCACTCTTAGACCATGCTTATGTTTACCTTAATTTCAATGGCCATGGCTTCCTTATTTTTCTTTGCAGCACTATCTGAGGCAACAATCATCTTAGCAGGCATCGTGAAATAATTAATTTCACGTTAAATGTAATAAATAATTAATTCAAAAGTGCTTAAACACATCGATCAAAGAACACTGAATAATTTGATGAGGGGATTCCCAGAGCCAAATCGGGAAATGGCACCACACATACAATAGCCTGGCTTATAGTTCGTAACTTGAGCCAATGCTCGTATTTAGAGACATATATTTCCCTCAAATTTTTCTTGTATCTCAAGTTTCCACTGTTTTTCAATCTTATTGCCATCAATTATTTCCTTTAATCTCTTTACTGAACAACAGTTACGAAAAAAATCCATTCAATAATTCTATTCAGATTCAATGATGATTGAATATGTTATTTATTTAACGCTTTTTTTAAATGATTAATGACAACTGTAACTGCTTTATTAACTTTCAAATGTATAGTTCTACCTAAGAAATCAACAGTATCAAGAATATGTCTCACTTTATAGTTCTTCTAAAGCAATTCTTTGGACACAATCAGGCGATAGCTTATCACAAGCAGATTTTATATCATTTATTTTATTAGGTTTCACAGAGAAATATCTTATAATGTTTAATAAGATGCAAAAAGAAGAATATTTAAGTGTTTATTTCAGAATTACTTCAAGGAAGAAATCAGATACGAATTTTTCATATCATGTATAGAAACTATTTTACAGATACATAATATTAAAAAGACAGTACTACGATGTTAAAAATAGTGTAATAATTTATACTTTAAGAATAGTTTCAAATTCAAAGGCCAAAACAGGATACATAAATATATATATGTAAAATATCAAAAATACAATGGCTTTGTCTATACTGTTTAATACCTAAATAATTAAAATTTTGTACAAATTGTAATGCATTGTGTGTGTGGAGGGGGTGAAAAAGAAATAATAATAAAAATTGTGATGTATTAAGGGTTGTATCTAGTAAACTGTGAAGAAAGCTAGGAAGGAACTTGCAGAATGCAAAACAATGTTATAAATGATAGATAACTTGAAAAAAAGTAAAGGCAGAAAACAAAAGAAGCTGTCAAATGTTACCGATACAGATCACTCAAGACTGTTCAGACTTAGAAGCTGAAGTAGGCCCATTTTGTTAATAAAAGAGATAGAACTCAATTAGACAATCTACTTTAAATTAAAACCAGTGTTAGAACTTTAACAAGAATGTCTGTTAAAAATAATTTGTATACTGACATTCTAGCTAGCTGTTATTTGATGAAATTATATAGAATTGTTATTTTTTAATTTTAATTGTAAAATCATTGCTGTTATTACAAACTTTTTTTATTCTTTTTATTTGATTAATAATAGTGTTAGCGATAATTTTTCTGGAGCTATTAGAATTTCAATTAAATCAGTGTGTTTTCAAAAGTCATCCTTTGAATTGAATTAAAAAGTCATCTTTTATCAAATGAAGTAATACTGCAGACACTGCAAATTTGTATGTCAAGATAATTTGGTTTGGTAACTTCTTTGTTAGTTTTATTGAATAGATATCCTGTTTCATTGCGATTATTAATGGCAATGTCATTAATGTACTCATAGGTAAATTTAAATGTTCTTATTCATGGTTATTGTTAATAAAACTATGGTTATTATTAATAAAATTATATTCACTAACAAAGAGGAACACATTATAGTTGAATAGTTGGTTCCCATAAGAACACCATTAACTTGTAGAAGAAATTTGTTTTGATATTAATAAAACTGTTGAAAACTGTTAAGTCCCATTTATCGAAATTAAGTTTTTAATGCTGGGAAATAGGTGATATGGTTTAGTATTTAAACTATTGTAAATATCATTACGTTGCAAGCTGGTGTACAAGTTCTCAAGATCATAGTGGTTAATATTTTAAATTTATTGTTTGTAAATAATTTTAATAACTTACTGATTATTGTTGATAATCCAGTTATGTATTTTACTATTAGTTTTCTTCTGGATTTCAATTTTAATTATTTACTTCATTGGCAATAAATATAAATTCGATTTGATTTTTCTGAAATTTTGGAAATGAACACACACACACACACACACACACTGGAAAATTTATTATAGCAAGGAACATAATTTTATTAACAATTATCATAAATCAGAACTTTTGAAATTTACCTGATACACCAATAACACTGGCATTAAAAATTACAATGAAACTGAAAAAACAAGATACCTATCATAAATGCCTTAAAATTAATAGAATGAACAAAGAAAATATCAAAGCAGATTACCTTAACTTATAAATTTACAATCTCAATAATATTACTTTATTTGATAAAAGAAGACAGTTCAAAAGAAGACTTTTCAGAATAATTAAACTGATCAATTGCAATTCTAATGTCTCCAGAAAAATCATTGCTAACACTATTACAGTACAAAGTCTTTAATCCGGACTCGTCGGGACTTCGGCGATTCCGGATTATAGATCATCAGTTTAAATCTGGTAAGATAACATGCAGAAATTATAAAATTAAAAATATGAAACCGTAATTTATAAAACAATGAGCAATTATGATATAAAGGGTATCAAAATTTACACAAAAAAAAAAAAAAAAAAAAAAAAAAAAAGCTAATAATATAATAATATAATGTTTATTTTATTACTAAAAATTTCTTTCAATGCAAGTTGTTTAAGTTGCTTCATTTTTTTTTTTGTGCTAATACTTTCTCTTTAATTCTATAAACAGACATAATTTCTTGTTCAGTTACAAAGTTCCAATGTTCAAGTCCTGTAATTGCTGTGCCGAGAATACCGACTAACTTGTCAATTGAAATTTTTGTCGTTTTCACTAACCTCTCTGTCACTTTTTTCATGCTTTTATCCATTTTTTGCAGCAATTCCACTTTTTGTTTGATGGACATTGAAACATGCTTTCTCTTTATAGATCCTTTGGCAGCTCCAGAATCGGAAACTCTTTTTGACATAATCGAAAGTTCAAGCTTACTTTTTATAAAATTGCTCTAACAGCCTGCAAAAAATAATAAGCCGGATCCAGTTAGAAGATTAAGGAACAACGCAATCTGCAACATGAACTGAAATAGATAATTTTAGCCTACTTTATACTGTCCGTTATACATTAAACGTGCATGCGTAAAGGTATTATACGCATGCGTAAAACGCTACTCATGCACAGAAAGTTTGTAGCTTTGAGGTCTGGATTAAAGACTTTGTACTGTATTAATCAAACAAAAAGAATAAAAAATACAAGCAATAACAGCAATGATTTTACAAATAGCAAATTCCATAAAATTTCATTAAAAAAAAAAAAAAAAATACAGTAGCCAGTCTCAACACTATTTTCACCAAAAAACTGCAGTTTTCTACAATAGGCTATACCTGAACCATTATAATTCTTAATGCAGATGAATTAGGCATTCTTGTCAAAATTCTAATATTGGTTTTAATTTAGATAATAGATATCTATATAATAGATTTCTATCTGATTTATTAACAAAGTGGGCCTACTTCAGCTTCCAGGTTCAAGAAACCACTTGAGTGAGCTCTACATTCTGCAACATTTGACTTCTTTCTTTTTCGCTTTCCCCTCCCTCTTTTAGATTACCTATAATTTCTATTAAAATTTTTTCTAAATTCATATTTTTCATTCCGATTTTATTCACAATTAAAATTAGTTATTGTTCCCATGGAAGATGGCTGATGGGATCAGCAATAACAATTTTCTTTTGATATATGCATTTTTTTAATACTTTGAGTATTTTAATATCAATTTCATTACAATTTAAAACCTCTGCTAAGCCTTTTTGGCATATTTTTATTTCCATATTGTAAAGAATTAACCTTTGATAAGATAATTACAACAGCTTTTACTCTTTATTTCCTAGAAGATAATCGAAAATAAAAAATTAATAATTAAATACACATATATAAAATTTAAGTGTGCGTACGCATACTGCACAAAAGAAAAAATGGAACAGTTCTATATCTCCCGTTCTACTGGGCCGATTAACGAAATTCAAACTTTGAAAGTGCGACTTAGGATAT